CAACTGTCTGTTAGATTAGGCCTCTTAATAATTAGATTGGTGTCTTGCGCTCGGCCGTTGTGTAACTGTCACCTTCCCTCTCTGCTCGGCATCCTCCTATCTCTCTGCACTCCGGAACACATATATCGAGTTGGAACCAGTTAAGATGGCGGAGTCACACGTCGTCAGATGGCCTAGACCAGGCATGTCCAGCTCCGGTCCTTCCGGGCCGCTGTCCTGCCTGTTTTCCATCGCTCCCTGCTGAAACATATCTGATTCAAATGATCGGCTCATCAGCAAGCTCTGAAGAAGCATGAGAATGATCGTCATCATTTGAATCAGGTGTGTTGCAGCAGGGACAGATCGAAAACAGCCACGACAGCGGCCCTTGAGGACCGACTTTGGACACCCGTGGGCAAGACGGTCGAACATCCCCCCCACCTCTTCCTTGGGGGGTGGGGGTGGGGCGGCCAAGGGAGCGTAAAGAGTAGCAACTGGTTTGGACGATTTAGACTTTCTTCCGCAATCTTGCAGAAAAAGGCTCAACGGCCGTGTCACCATCTTTCTGGCATCCATAAAATAGTTCAACTGAGAATCTGCCGTCATCTGGTAGTTACTATTAACATAGTGAGCATATAAGATAAAGATAACTAGGGAAATTTTCCCTCAGAATCTTTCATGTCTGGATAAAAAGTGCAATAATAAATTTCTCCCACTGGTTAGGAGGGGTGCTTAGCTGGAAAACATATTTCACAGGTGGTACGTCTATGAAAAATGTTGAAAACCACTGCACTAGTACACTATCAAGTTAACTTTACAATCAAAGTATGACATACAGAATTTTCCAAATTGATCTCTGTGTAATTCACATCACATGGAAACTCCACGTCCTGGAAATTAGACTTCACTGAATCACGCTTTCTTGATATATGCACACAAATATTTTGTTTATTTTCTCTCTCTCTCTCTCTCTCTCTCTCTCTCTCTCTCTCTCTCTCTCTCTCTCTCTCTCTCTCTCTCTCTTTCTTTCTCTTGGTCTCGCTCTCGCCCTCCATTGATTAAACCTCGAATTCACCAAGTGTCACATAATACAGATTGCATCACAGATGACATTAGACTTAAATATTTTTGCAATCCAGGCGTTCAAGAATTTCAGACACGATACACTTCTCACCGGGAGGCTTTACTTGAGAAAGAAAAACAGAATATGAAATGAATCATTTCCTTTTTTCATGCCTGCAAGTCTTGGTGGCCCCACCGGTTTTTCTCCTTGTGTGTTGGTGCCTTGACAACTGACCTGGCTGAACTGACTCCATTGACAACTTTCGCCCCGACAGTGAAAAGGTCATGACTACATCACATTGGTGCACGTGGATGTAAAAAGGCGAACGCTCTTTAAAAAGGCTTGGAGCAATACAACCGGTAATGTTGCTTTAGTGCAGTGGTTAGCACGTCGACCTCACAGTGCAGAGGTGCCGGGTTCAATCCCAGCTCCGGCCTCGCTGTGTGGAGTTTGCATGTTCTCGTTCTGCGTGGGTTTTCTCCGGGTACTCCGGTTTCCTCTCACATTCCAAAAACATGCATGACAGGTTGATTGAACACTCAAAATTGTCCCTAGGTGTGAGTGTGAGTGCGGATGGTTGTTCTGTGTGTGCCCTGCGATTGGCTGGCATCAGGTTCAGGGTGTCCCCCGCCTACTGTCCGATGATGGCTGGGATAGGCTCCAGCACCCCCTGCGACCCTTGTGAGGATAAGCGGATCGGAAAATGCATAGATGGATGGATGGATGTTGCTTTAGTGTACATGCTTTTTGAGTAGGCACGCACAACTCCACGTTCGTTAACTTGCGTGGAAGCCTCTTTCATCCAAAACGGGGAAAATAAATTGCTTGACCTTAGAAATATTATACTGGATTTGAATATAAAGGAATGTGGCAAACATTTTTTTATTTACCGTGAGTTTCACAAACCAGGCTATCATATTGTAATTGCAAATGAAAAGCTTTTTCAAAAATGGCCGCTCCAGTGGCGCTGCTCAGCCGTGAGAAATTGCGCTCCTGTGATTCTGCTCACTCGTGGATGGCTGCGAAGGTGTCGTCAGGTGAAAGGTAAGAAACCACAGACAGAAACCCACACTGCATGTTGAGAACATTTGCGAGATTGATTTCACATTTTTCAGCTTATGCAACTTGGTCCTGCAAAAATGTCGTCATGAGTGATGGTGGAAACCGATCTATTTGCCTAAAATGTGATTCATACAAACACACGCAAGTTGCTGATTTTTGCTGAATGAGTTGTGATGATGAGTTTAGCTAGCCGTTGTTGCATTGACTTTGGGGAATCCCGAAACGAGTGTGTTTAAATTTGTGTTGAACGTCTTGAAAGTTGACAGGAGCTTCCTTTTGGCGTTGCTCAATAAATTGCCTAATACAGTATTGTCTTCATGCAGACTTTCACTTTACTCTGCTCCATTTTGCTAAAGTTTAGGGTAGTAGAGCAAGCACCAGCAGGACGATAAGTACACTATGTCTTGCGATTTCAAAGGAAAGAGATCATAATTTCAGCGTTGAGAACTGCTGCGTAAATGTGTGCAAGTTGCAGATATCTAATTTAGGTTTGCCTTGTCAAGAAGATTACAGTAATCCCCCGATAGAACACTTTTTTTTTTCATTTTTGGACAGTGCATTTTGTTCCTGCATCCTGATTGTGTAAGGGGCTAATGTCAACAATCTCCACGTCTCTCTGTGGACAGCTTGCCAAACTTTCTCCATGACGCAAACCCACAATATCGACGAAACGTTCTTTTCAGTATTTCGAAAAACTGTCGGTTGTTTGTAAGAAAATGTCCGTCCATCCATCCTCCTCCTCCTCCTCCTGGGCAATTGGCCCCCGTCAGGGACTTGCCCCCCCTCCCGGGTCCCACACCCGGTATGATGCTCGCTGGTGCCTCGCGAGGATCACACCCAGTGCGGGCCCCAGAAAGGCCCTCGCCTGATTATTGTTTAAGGAGGGTTGTGGGGCGGCTACTCCCACTCCCTTCCGTTCCGGCGGGGCGAGCGGTGGGCGCCTCACTTTCCGGTGAGACCCCACCTCCTTCCCCGCCGGCTGGTGGGCAATTAGCCGCATCAGGGGCCCCACAGCCCCGGCATTCCCCCCTCGCGCCACTCGGAGGCATCCCACCACGCGAGGCATCCATCCATCCATCCATCCATTTTCCTCATCCTATTCCTTACAAAGGTCGCGGGGAGGTGCTGGAGCCTATCCCAGCCATCTTCGGGCAGTAGACGGGGGACACCCTGAACCGGTCGCCAGCCAATCCCACGGCACACATAGACATACAACTATTCACGCTCACATTCACACCTAGGGACAATTTCTAGTGTTCCATTAACCTGCCATGGATGTTTTTGGAATGTGGGAGGAAACCGGAGTACCCGAACAAAACCCACACAGGTACAGGAACAACATGCAAACTCCACACAGGAAGGCCAATCGAACCCTGCTCTTCTGCACTGTGAGGCAGACGTACCAACCAGTCGACTACCGGGCCGGCCAAGAAAATATTATTTATTTCGTTAGTTTTCAATGCTTTGGCCTTAAAAAAGGTGGAATCTTTGGTTTCATTCAATACAGTATTGTCTATGTAATAATTGTAAAAAATAAAGATGACTACTTCATGGATTTTTCACTTATCATGAGGTCTTTTATTTTGGAACATAACACCCTCGATAAATGAGTGATTATGCCTGTATTTCAGGTATCACCTACCTGCATTCGTCCGATTCACAACGGTCATTTTCAGATGCTGTTTTCAGATGCTGCACCTGCAATGAATGCTATTAGACAAGGACAAAAAAATATTTTCAACTACAGGATGAAATATCCACCACACCTTAGTTTTGAGGTGCCTACTTTTGGATACAAGATATCCTTAATTCCCCACTTTCAGAGAGTATCTTAGTTTTCAATTAATATATTAGTTTGTTTCAAATAGGTGAAAAACTTTCCAGATATCTGTAACTCGAATTATATTTAGTCAAATGAATATTGTAGGTATCTGAAACTAGAATTACAGATATCTGCAATAAAATTGTGGACATCTGTCATTCAAGAGTGGAAGAAAACAAGCGGCAAAAGTGCCCCTGCCATTTGTTTGTCATTGGCAAAATTACATTGCAGATATTTGAAGTTCAGTTTAACTTAGGCAAAACTGAATGGCGGATATCTCGAGCTGTCCTTTCAACTATACACTCTTATGGATATCTTGAATGAAAAGTCCAACTATTCAGAGATGTCTAAATTCAGGAAAGTCAAATTTATCTTTTAAATGTTAAATTCGGTACGCTATGTAATCACAAAAGTAATTTAACTACTCAAAAGATATTTGATGTTAAAAACAGTGTTGTTACAACCCCACTAGTAGTGGGCCACTACTGAGAAATGTAGTAAAACTAGTAGAGCTGCTACTGGTAATGCCACGGTTGCCCGATTTTGGCACAAACACAACACTTTTGCCACAAATCATTCTGTGAACCCACAACATTGAAATTCCTTTTGTTTTTTTGTGGAGGGTTGATGAAAAAAGTAAGAAGCCTAGTTTCACAATGTAACGTGTAGAAAGTACAGACATCTGTTTTCAAATGTAAAGATTCAGGAGTAAAAGTAAAATATTGTCAGAAAAAGACATACTTAACTCCAATCTACTGTATAACAAAAAAAGTGTTGGTATTGGATTACTTTTTAACACTGGTTTTAGAGCTAGATTAGATTAAATTAGAAAAAAAAACATAGTTAAAAATTTTACCACTGTGACACATTGAAAACACTTTCACATTTCTTGCACTGAGCCTCATTTGAAAGAGTTGCTTCAGCTCAAGTCACGTCACTCAACAAGTGGCCTCCAGCTGTTCTGACGCAATTTGTGAATAAAGTCAGCTAGTCCCCGCCCATCGGGAGCTTGGCAGCCAATAAGAACTCATCAAGGGATAATCTGTTGGTATAAATGGCGAGGTTGCCTGACTGTCATTCAATAAAAAATACAAGCGGGTTGTGCTAAACGCTTTCACTCAACAAGTGCTCAGCAGACGGCGACAGAGAGAGAGAGAGAGAGAGAGAGAGAGAGAGAGAGAAAGAAAGAGAGGTGGGGGGGTAGACAGTCCCAGAAGTGATGGAACACTCAAGGCAGACTGAGTTCACCTCCAACGACGGAAAAGACACGAGAGACACCACTTTGGTGGTCAACGGACACTTTGACGGAGTAGTCAAAAAGCCGTCCGCTGCTCTCCAGAGTCCGGCCACAGAGTCCGGGTCGCATCGGTCGGCAGCCTCGGTGTCGGAGAGCTGGAAGGAGGAGCACGCCAGGAGCGTGGAGGATAACGAGGTGAGCCTCCCGTCACTGGCCGCAGCTTACACCACCATTTTACGCGGGCTTGGAGAAGACCCACATCGGCAGGGGCTCGCCAAAACTCCCTGGAGAGCCGCCACCGCCATGCAGTTCTTCACCAAGGGCTACCAGGAGACTATCATCGGTGAGTTTTAAAACACGCAAAGCGTCTCAGAGCGACATTTAGGATTGTGCTGCTGTGATCCGGTCAACAGGTGGGGAGAGCCAAAAGACCGATCCTCCTTAGTGGCTGCTTTTCACATTAAATTGACTCGTCACTAATTGGATTTTCAACTTTACACACCGTAGCCGAAAGGAAAAGAAGAAGAATATGGTCACATTGATCTAGTCTCAATTTTCAGCATTTTCACTGACACTTTTTTGTGCATGTACCGGTAGTTCAGGTGTGGGAAATTCAAGGCCCGGGGGCCAAATCCGGCCCATCACATCATTCTATGTGGCCTTGCAAAAGCAAATAACGTGTATCGATTTGATGTTTCTTGCTCCAAAGCATTAAGATACTGCAAGTGTTGTTTTGTGACCAACCCCCCCCCCAACAATAAATGTAATAGAATATTTGTATTATTAAGGTCCTCTAATTTCATACCTAGTTATTCATCAATTTGGTGTGTATACCTGTATCTAATAGAGGGTGAGCATTCATTTATTTGCAATCATAGTCATCACGGTACTTCAAAGGAAACCATGATGTGACTTGCAATGAGTTTGACATCTCTGATTTAGTTTCTCTCCTAGTAGTAGTTTTTTTTTTGTGTTAAAATACAATTTTTTTTATAGACACAGGCGATAGTTCGAACACATCTGTCAAAAATTAATCCACCAGTGTTTCATAATTTTAACAATAGCATCTGCCTTGGAATATCTGCCTCTGAAGTTCCCATTTAAAGCATCTTATGACACAGTTGTGTACGTACATACATACATATACACCATTCAAATTGATTTGGGATTTGGTGGATAATGTAACAGAATAATTGCCAGGACAATCACGTATGTATATACCAACATGTGAACTGTCTGTATCAAAGTGGTTTGAAGAAGATGTTTTTGCCACTGTGGCATCCCACAATGGCACAAACAAAGCAGTCGAGTCTCAGCCAGTGGATGTGGTTCCCTTCATTCCGTTACAAAGCAGGGTGGTCGAGGCGCACACAGTGCTTGACATTGCAGAAGCAGAATTTGATTTGCTTGGGTTCATGTATGAGATTGGCGCACACAAAGTGTGTTTCCATAGGTAAACTATAAGATCTCTGCAGATGATGTAGGTGGACCTGAATGTGACGTGGCGATTGGAGACCGCCTTGCATCCCTGATGGTGCATCCGTGTGTGACGGAATGCCTATTGAGATGTAGTGCGGGCAAGCAAATTCACAAACACTCTAAACTTGACAGCAAGGTACTGTAATATGCAATCCCAAACATGGTAAACTGCATTTGCCCCTGAAAAAAATTCAGATACGATCGTTTTTATGCTGAGGGTTTGAGGGCCTGTTTAAGATAGTAGAGTCCTATGTGTAAGGTGAGAGGTCCAGTCGTCTGGTCATCAAGGCCTGCAATTTTCAAAGTTGCATAGTGCGATGTTCAGCGTGATGTTAATTTGTGTTTCAGACCTGCCTGATGACTCAGTAACAATTTCGAAGAGGTTTCAGCACAACATGGTTCCACTTTGCCACACTTTGGTACATTAGAGTTAAGTCAGGGTTCTGCCGCCCTCATCCACCTCTTTTCGAATCCATCTGGAGTTAGTTTAGCTGCACTGGGGCTTGTTTTACGTGCTGTAAGGCTAAATTTAAAAGAACGAATCTGCATTGAGTAAATGATGGCAGAATGACAGAAAAACAGCTTCATGCGCAAGATGACATACACCAAGTTCTTCTTCACTTATGATCAGCAGAGAATGAACACTGAAAATAATACCGATGGTTTGCATACAGTATGTTGCTCCTAAAGCCCTGCTTTTTCCTGATTGGTTGGTTCGAAAGCCTCCCCCTTGAGTTATTGGAAAACAGAGAACACACAACACTTTGGAATGGAACGCAGGATCTTTATGAAGAGTTGAGGCATTCAGTGAGAATCACTGGACTGTTTGATCAGTGTGTGTGTGTGTGTGTGTGTGCGTGTGTGTGTGTGTGTGTGTGTGTGTGTGTGTGTGCGCGCACGTGTGCTTTGTTTGTGCGTGTGTGCCCAGATCATGGGTTCAGCTTTCAACAGGCTGTTGATCAGCACATGACCAAAAGCTATGCAGACATTTAATGGAAGATCTGAGTTTATTTCTACTGGTTGATCAAAATCGTTACTTATCTTGGGCTGTTCAAGAATATTGTAATAAAGCTTATGGGCCACGCTGTGCTTAGTTCTCACACGTGGAAATGCACAATCCAGGCGGAAGGTGGGCTCCTAGTGTCCACTTTACAGATCTGTGACCACCCTGTAGCTAACTTTACGTCATTCACCCGTGGAGGTCTGCTTGCAGTTCATCATAAATGTGAAGGACAGGACTCAAGCAAATCACTATTCTTCTTCGTGCAGCATTTAAAAGGAAGGAGAGGAGCCTCTTCGATTGGTAGCAAAGCAAGTCAGCTGTGTTCACACCCACTAAGGTGCAAATCATATTTTTAAAAACTTGGTGTAGCGTGTCCCTGCTCAGCTTTTATAACACGACTCGCTCCAGACTTGCACTGGGCATGAGAGTAGAGCCCCAAGTGTAACAAAATGTCTGCTTCCATGTTGCTGTGTCATTTCAAGCTAAGACACACAGTCGATAGTCACGAAATAAAAATGCAAGCATTGAAACATTTTGGGCCCGCCGAACTTTTAAATGTTTTTGAGAAGAAGAATATGAGCTAAGAGATAATGTGGGGATGGGGCTGATGTGAGGAGCGATTGTAGAATATTTTGTAGGTGGCGGACGAGAGGTGACCAAATCTTGTTAAATCGTGGCTCCTATTTTCTTACATCTTTTCCAGTTGGGGAGTGTTAAACATTTTAGTGAACCATAACTTTAAATTTGTCACCTCCTAAAAAAAAATACACTACGTTTCTTGGCTCCCAAAGGAAAATATAATGTTTCTGCGCTGTCGTTAAAGTAGGTAAAGAATCTGAATAATTGACTCTAATTACAGTAAGATCGAGTCAGGGTCCCAGGTGAATATTCAGAACATCAGAGAAGTCTGAAAGGTGTGTGTCCAAAATAACCCTATTGTTTTTGTGGGTTTTTTTGTTGTTGTCTTTGGCAAGTTTATTTTCTGTTTCACCTTCTCAGAACTCCAGTTGTGCTCTACTTCCAGTGTCAGCTTGACACGTATGTCATTTATTGCTGTTTATTTCCTCCTCCTTTTTGTTCAAGGGACTTACTGTTGCCTGGCTTTTGGTGAGGGTCAGACAAATGTTGGGCTACAGTTAAGCCAAGTCGGTAGAGACTGTGGCTTTTTGAGTGGCTTAGTTCATAACTGGAGCAGCAGTTCGGTCAGTAGTTGGATTATTTTATTATATATTATATAATTATATTGCCGGCCTCTCAGAGAAAATACAAAGAATATTTCTACAACATGATATTCCTGTTTATTTTAAACCGATAAACACTTTGAGACAAAAACTAGTACACCCCAAAGACCGGGTTGCCAAAAATGCAATTTGATTTATTCCATCTGTTGCCAAGAAAGTGAGTACAAGGAACATTACATTGGAGAAACCAAACAAACACTCAAGAAAAGACTTTATCAACACAAATGGAAAAACAATGATAACAAAAGTGCAGTATACGCATACTTAAAAGAAACAAACCACACAATTGAAGATGAACAAGTAAAAATCCTAGGAACACTAAAGAGATGGTTTGAAAGGGGAGTAAAGGAAGCGATTTTTGTTAAAAAGGAGGTATCAGATTTAACCTGTCTCCTATTTACAACAACTTGTTGACCACCAAGGGACATAGACATGCTGATCAGGCCAAATGAAAGTAGCTATTC